AAAAAAAAAAAAAGAAAAAAACGATATTTATTCTCAGTTTTCGAATCATTTTGTTTAACGACCACGCGAATATGAAATGTCACGTTCTTGAAGCGGGTATTGGATAAAAATTTACGTCGTTTTTTCGTCGTGAGGTTGAATCTTTCTCAGGGACTCACAACCTCTCTGTCTCTCGCTATCGGGCTTTTTTCTCTCTCTTTCTTTCCCTCGTTTTACACCTCGAAAACTCGTCTCGAGAGCAAGGCACTTTGCAAGCCGCGGTTGGATATCTATGATGAAGGTGAGCACATCCTGTAACGATGTAACGGGTGAACATTGCTCACGAAATCATGACGAATTCATTCGAACTGCGAATTACCTTCCGGTCGACGGAGTTTCGCTAAATGTCCGGAAGAGGGTACATATGCAAAACGCGTGATCATCAATATTCCATCGTGGTAAACGTGGCCGAGGCATCTGGAAATTCTGTCTTGCCCCTGGTATTTGCTTACTTCACCGGATAAATTAGAAACCGTCGATTAATCAACAATTCTGGTTCGTTAAACGCGAATTACCTCTCTTCTTTGTTATCCACGTATCTACATATTTTGAAACTATATTATGTACACATCTGTTTCGTACGATAAGATATTCCCTCGTCAGAACATTTGAATCATTTGTCTGAACCATAATACATTGAGACGATATATACTATATATTATACTAAGTCGTTGCGCATGTTACTTAATTGAGATTTAGAAATTTTTTGGAAATAAGTTTTTCTTAAAGTTTCAAGTCTTTACGACTTTAATTTCGTGATGGAATTGGATATATATCATTCGCAAGCACAAGTTTCTTATCTCGTTCGAACAGTGGAAACAGTGGAGAACCACTTCACGTCAAAGAATCAATTTAATCTTTCGCTTTTAATATCGAAGCGATGGTTGTTGTCTCGATTCATCCATCAACCGATAATCGTCAGACTCGTGCGTGTGGCAGAACGAATGCCGAACACCCGTTAGACAATACGTCTTAACACTCGTAGGTTATTGTGGCGTTGAAAGGGAGTAACTTATAGGGGCATTGGGAATTACCAGTTTATTATTAGGGAGATAGCATAGAGGGCCAAGATCAGGGGTTGCTGTTAATTCTCCTAACACTTGGCTCCCCGGAGAGAACACGCCGCCTTAAGACTTCCACCGTCTCAACCCATTCCGCTGTGCACCGCCGACATCTTGAATCGCTGCCGTGTTAATTAGTACGACTTTAAACGCACCCGCATGTGGTGGCAATCACGACTGGTTGAAATGATTTCGCTCGTCGCCCACGGGAAGATGTAATCTGTATTAATAACACTGTCTGAGCAACTGGCTCAACGTTTGCAATTGAAAAATCTGCCCGTTCAGACAGATATTCTTGAGAATATCCGCGCAGTACGACGATAATAAATTTGTACATACATACGTACCAACCAGCGTAAGTCTTTTCCCATTGAAAACATATTTTCATTGTTAAAATTAATTGCTCGAATGTATTTGCACAGCGCGAGATGTTTTTACGCTGATTGACTTCTGAACCCTCCATATATTGTCTCTTTGTAAGTATTCCAGCAATATTGTCGATTGCTGTGAGATCGTTGATTATGTATATTCTTTCGCTGCGTTTCAGGGACAAGCAGAAATTTTTTTTTTTTCTTCTTGAATCCCATTTTCTCCCCGTAAGAAAGTTTAGCATCGTCGAAAAAGCTATCCTGCGACGAATGTTTCTCAGCGATTACAGGGATCCCGATCGAAAGAAGAAGCGGAATCCAGGAAGCAACGTGTCAGAATGAATTCACATTTGATTCCTACACACTTTACATGCGACTCGTACACACAATGCAGTCCATCGGAAGTTGTCGTCTACCACTTCCGCTATCTGACTGCAGCACGTCTGTCTGACGGCATCCCCTTCGTTTCATCTCCACGAAATTCCGACGTATCCGCGTATAATACGTACGTATGTGTTCAACCTTACGGAACACGCACAAGCTTTTTCTACGAAGAAACGCTGCGCGAGAGGCACGAGTTCCATTCGCGACAGAAAAGGGAACTAATAATCCGTCATACGCTTTAAATCGAATTAAAAACGTAATTTCTACGAAATGGAGGTTCATGTATTCGCTTTGAATAAGTTCGATCGCTCTAAAGTTCGATTTAGATTCGTCAAGTTGGAATTCAGTTCAGTTACATTAGATTTGGCGACGTTATGTAAAAATCTAACAGCAAGTGTAATATATGGTCGCGATATTTACGAAATCACTCTAATTAATTATACAGTGTCTTGTCTCTAAGTGTTTCTACAGAAACTAAAGTAAATTATAGAGGTGATACAATCTTCACATTATCAAAATTAATAAATTTTGTACTGCAACCTTAAAAATGGGACGAAAGGATCAGTCATGTCAAAGAAACGAATGGAAAGTCACATTTTCGTGCGCTCATTAAATACGAATAAACCACGGCAATAACCAGCCCGAACATTTCTCTTGCCCTTATCTCCGACATTTCATTAAGCATGAGTGCTTTCGCTGAATCGCCAATAGGAATCAACCAAATCAATTACAGCCAACACCTAACGAACTTCCAGCTAATTACTTTATTGCAGGTATATCATCGCTGAAAGGGTTCGCAGGATAGTGAAACATTTATAACCTCTTGCGACCATAATCATGATACATGTTAC